TACAGAGAGAAAGATGAAAAATAGAAAGATAGATGATAGAGAGCTAGGATGTTCCGTCAGCTTGTTTACCCTCCAAATGGCCGCAGTGGCCAGAGCTGAGATGCAAGTCAGGAGGTTTTTTCTGATCCTCAACATGGATGCAGGGGCTCACGCTCTTGAGCTATCCTCTATTGCTGTCCCAGGTGCATTAGCAGAGCATCTGGGACTTGGATCAGCACCCATGTGGGATGCTGCTAAGCTGAAGCGCCACAGGGGCCACTTTCTTTCGACTTGACTTCTTAAGCCAAAAGACTTGCGTTTTAAATCAGCATTTTAAAAAAATGCTTTGGGTTCATTGATGCTGCTGGATGCTGCACACTGGATCCACGTTTGCAGCTGGCTGTTTCCTTCCAAGGCCTTTCCCTTTGCACCTGCCAAGCTGTCACATTTCCTTGGATGGACCCAGCTCTCCGGCAACCCACTGCACCTGGTGCTCCCCGAGAAGTCCTGCCACCGTGACGTCACTTGAATGCCTACTTGCAGTAAAGCGGGTCATTTGTTATTTATGAAATTGTACTCACACTTTAAGACCCAAGAGTTCATCCTAAGGTCTTGTCCATAAAGTTCCCTCCACCCTAGAGGGAGGTAAGCTCTGACTTTTCTCTCAAAACCCTCACCTGATGGGAGTTTGGGGATACACCCAGACCCCAAGGTCCTCAAGGGCAAGAGGGGTCTGGACGTGGCGGCAGTCCTTATAGTGGTGCTGGGAACACAGGGGCACCTGGCAGAGTGTTTAGAGTGAAAATCCTTTAGTTTGAAACTGTAAAAGGTGAGCAGAGTGCTTCCCTCATTTTCCGCAGTTGTGTTCTCTGGAGGCTGACTGCGATGTGCAAGCCTCTTCTTACTGTGCCCCCAGTGCCTCCAATTCAACTAACTTTAAGCCTCCCTTGGGTGAACATTATTTTCTTCCAGATGGTAATAAAGGTGTCTCACTAGAACACAGGGAACACCTCTTCTTTCAGAAGGCTCCGAGCTGAAAGGCAGTGTGCAGATGAGTGAGGGTGGAATTTTCTCTCTCCTCTGGGGCAGGAAGGTGTAGAGTAGATAACCTAGAATGAAAAGGGAACCGCCTAAGAGACTGCAGACGTCAGCAGGGTACTGTTGAACTTGGAGAGAAATGCAGCTAGCACAAGTAAAGAGGAACAGGCTTCAACACTAACACTGAAGTCATGGACATTGAGAAAATTTCACTGTTTGACTAAAACTTTTCTGGAGGGGCTGGCGTTGTGATACAATGGGCTAAGACCCTGCTTGTAATGTGAGGATCCCGGGCGTACAAGGCGAGGACCTTTAACCACTTGCGCCACCGCGCCGGGCCCACTGGCTGCTCTACTTTTTAAAGATTTAGTTATTTTATTGGAAAGGGAGGTTTACAGAAAAGGAGAGACAGAGAGAAAGATCTTCCATCCATTGGATCATTCCCAAAATGTTTGCAATGGCCAAAGTTGAGCTGGGAGCCAAGGGCCCAAAGCTTTTTTTCTGGGCCTGCCATGTGTGTTCAGGATCCCAAGGCTTTGACCATCCACTGCTACTTTTCCAGGCCATAAGTAAGGGGCTGGATGGGAAACGCAGAACAGCTGGAACATGAACTGGCAGTCCTATAGGATTCTGGCACTTGCAGGGGAAGATGAGCCAATTGAGCCATTGCACCAGGTCCTGGCTGCTCCAATTCGGATCCAGCTGCCTGCTAATGTACCTGGGAGAGCCCTAGAGGATAGCCCAGTGACTTAGTCTGTATCACTCATATATAAAACTTGGATTGAGTTCTGGGCTCTTGGTTTCAGAATGAACCAGCCTGGGCCATTGCAACCATTTGGAAAGTGAATCATTGGGTGATTCAGTCTCTCCCTCTCTCTCCCATCTCTCTTTTCCTTTCAGATAAATAAAATAAATCTTTTTAAAAATATTTTTGCTGGGGAAGGTGAATGAAGAGGGCGTTAATGAATAATAAAGAGACCTGCATTTGAACATGATAACCTAAAAGGCTATAGAAGAAAGACAAAGTATTCAGAGTGAAGTAAGAAGGAAGAGAGAAACTCAGGATGTTTGAGAAAATATTTTAGTGGCTAATTCTGCCATGACCCCGCACTTAATATCTTAGGTCTTTTTCCTCCCCCAACCAAAAGCAGGTTACACCATGTTCTCTTGCCAAGTCATAAACAGAGAATTGGGCTATTTTTATAGTGAAAGTTTGAGAACTCCAAGAAATAGGCATGAATAAGAAGAGGTTTTCTCAGCTTTTTCGATTTTCTTCTCAGCAGCATTTTAGAAGTTATCTTACTGGCACTGGTGTTTTTTCCCTCTCTCTGTTGATGAGATCTCTCTACTGGAGTGATCTCACAGGCAGAACTGGAGTCCTAGTCTAAAAGAGGTAACGGAGAACTTTGCCCATAGCACATCTGCCTGGAAACATCTGGTCACTGCTTCGCTAACTCGGGTGAAAGGAGATGCTATCCAAATCAAAGGTAGGGTTTTCTGCCTTAGTGGAGACATTTATAATCAATCTATCTATCTATCTATCTATCTATCTATCTATCTATCTATCTATCTATCTATCTATCCATCCTCCTAACAAGGCCTGCTTAAAGTTGGTAGAACATCTCTCATTGTAACCTATATAAGTTGTTTTTGACAAGGAAATGTCCTCACCTTTAGAAGGCAAGTATCATACTTCTTAAAAGACAGTTCAAAAAGTCATCATGGGGGCTGGCATGTGGCGTAGTGGAGGAGACAACCTTTGGGGTGTGCCCAACTCTTATCAGAGTGCTTCGGTTTGAGCTCTGGCTCCGTTTTGTACTCTGGGAGACAGCTCATGGTCACTCCGTTGGGTCCCTACCACCCAGGTAGATTAAGTCGCAGGATCCTGGCAATGGCTCCACGCTGGCTGTTGTCTAGTGAAGGAACCAATGGAATCTTCATCCCTCTCTGTTTCTCTCCCTTCGGATTAAAATGAAAATAAATAAAAAGAGAGTCATTCTGCCAAAGTTTTAAAAACCATTACAGTATGTAAATGACTCTCACTTATATCCCAGGATCATCTAAGGATTCTTTCCTCAGCCTCTTAACTGATGGTGCTTTTCCTTCCGCAAAGATGGTCATACCATGCAACATTAGAATAATTTGACATTTTAAGCTATTTTTTCAGCAGATACAGTACAAAAGAAAAAAATTGTTTCTGTTCAGGTAGAACAAAATTTGGGAAAAAGAACTTCCCTAGGAATATTCAAATTCTCATAGGAGAATGAGCAAACAGCCTGTCTGGGGTTTACTTTTGAAACTTAAAATGATGTTAGGGTCACTGGAGACAATTCTTGCAATGAGTGCCAAAGTACTCTGCATGCACAATTTAAACTTGCTTGGCAGAATCCAAAGTTGTCTGTGAAAGGCAGAGCTAGGCAAGGTGTTAGGCAGAGAAACTACTTCAATGGTCTGCCATTGGGTGACAAAGAAGTAGCTAAAAATTGAAATAGCCAGAAAATGATGCAACCACCATCTCAGAGACCCACAGTACCCGTTGAGCGGTAAATTGGTGGGACATTCAGTCTCTTGGTGGATCATTCAAATGGAGTAGTTGCGGCCACTGAAACGAGATTGAAATGCCAAGGCACTGTGAAGCCTTTGTGCAGGAAGACCTCAGTAAGTAAGTGCAAAGACATCAGAGTATGAAGGAGGTTGGCCTGCTAGAGGAGAAGAAGGGCTCTGCGAGGCGCCAGTGGAGGCGTCCCTGACACGGTGGGGTGCAGATGACGGCGACGGGAAATGGTTCATGAGATTTCAAGAGGAAACACATTGAGGAGGGGGGTGAATTATAGATGAAGTGAAGTCAAGGGAAGGTGGAGTAGGGATTGAGGAGTCACCATTAAGTAGGCCGGGGCAGCTGTCCAGAAATACAGGTATGCAAAAGAGTGCATGGGTTCAGGTAGTAGTTGCTGGAAAGAGGGTGTGGTCACAGACACAGGTGGACATGGACGTGGTGTGGGTTTCTAGGTCTACATGACAAAGTATCGTTTTTCTTGTAAGAACTGAAGGAGAATCGAAGAATCCCAGGACCTTAACCTGGACACAAAACACAATGTCTGCGCGAGAGCCTGAGGACCTGACTCACCTCTGATCTCTGACCTCTGACTCTGGTACCTTCCTTCTCACCAGCTTCTTGGGTCCCAAGAGTGGTGGCAGGCGGGCTTCTGGGAACGGCTGGATTGACCCCAGAAACACCCAACAGGCTGCACGGAGCAGGCTCAGAGTTCAAAAGGGGGAGGGATGGCCAGCTCAAAGGGCAGTTTCTTTTTAAATACCCAATCTCTCATCTCACCCTTGGGATAACTGTGAGGTTGTTCTGTTAAACCTCAGCTTTGCAAAAAAAAAAAAAAAAAAAAAAAAGACAAGTCAGAAGCTCAGGGAAATGACTGTTTTCTAGTTAATACGGAGTGAGAGCTGTGGAACTGCGGGTGGGAAATGCGTTCCTCACATTGCTGCTGAAGCAGACTCCTTTTTTCCGCTCTTTTCTCTTCCTCATCCTACACATTCCGTCCAGGGACCTGGGCTGGAGAGGGCCACGGTTTTTTTTTTTTTTTCCTTTTATGTTTGTTTCTCCTACCCTGCCAAGCTCTCTGGAGGCAAATCCCCTGACTCTTCTAACCCTGCGGCCACCCTGAGGCCTGGGACGAAGCTGAAAGGGAGGGCCAGGTGGCTTCTGCCGCTGGCAAGCCTGCGCAGTGCCCCGAAGGCTTTTTCCATTTCTTCCGACCCTCCCGCTCCACGTCCCTCACCTCTGGTCCCTAGGCTTCAGCTCAGGCCCCCTGGGGAGCGTCTCTGGCCGCGGGGCTGACAGCGTTTGGGGGCGCGGGGTCCTGTTTCAGTGCGCTCCTGCCCATCTGCAGACAGAGCCTCGTTCCTGGGCGCCTGGAGCCCGGCGGGCATTGACGTCAAGCGGCGGCGGAGCGCAGCCTACAGACGGCTGACCCGGGCCCTCCTCCACACCCCCTTCCTTCCTTCGTCCCCTCCCTCTTCCCGGCACCCGGACCCCAGCTCTGTATAAAAGGCCGGAGCAAGGGGTGCCCGCCAGCGCCGAGTGTTAGCACCATGGAGAGCCCCCGCCTGCGGCTGCTGCCCCTGCTGGGCGCCGCCCTGCTGCTGCTGCTACCTCTGTTGGGCGCCGGTGCCCAGGAGGACTCGGAGCTCCAGCCCCGAGCCCTGGACATCTACTCCGCCGTGGAGGACGCCTCCCACGAGAAGGAGCTGGTCGGTATTGCCCTAGCCCCAGGTCCCTGCTTTGGCACCTTTTCCTCTCCTCCTCCACCCCGTTCCCGGAGTCAGGGCACCGGGAGCCGAGCGCGAAGCCCGGGCACCTGCTGCTGCGCGAGTCCAGGAGCTCCGGACTCAGCAGAGCGCATTCCTGTCCCTAGGAGCAACAGGAGCCGCCGCGGCTCCGGGTCCCGCGGTCAGTACCGGGGACAGCGATCGCTGACTTTCCATCTCTCCCACATTAGCACTGTCCGCTGAGTCCCGCTGCCTAGTGCACACGCCTGGGGTCTTGGGTTCCTGGCAACCAGGGCCAGAAGTTAGCACCCGGGCTGGGCTGGCAGCCAGGGCGCAACTTGGGGCTTCGGACCGTTGTTATTACAGATCGAGGCGCTGCAGGAGGTATTGAAGAAGCTCAAGAGTAAACGAATTCCCATCTACGAGAAGAAGTACGGCCAGGTCCCCATGGTAAGGATGCGCGGTCAAGCTCTGCCATGATTTTCCAGGAGAAACACTTGGCCTTAACCTTTCATTCAGACTTTCCCCCCCAGGAGGTGGTGGAATGACGTAAGCTATGGGTTTGCAGAATTTTGAGGGTTTCCCTTTACTTTCACCTCCAGTCTTTATCATTTGGTCCCTAAGGGCAGGGGGTGGCCTAACGGCCACTTTGGAGAGTGGGGGAAGGATGAGCTGTGCTGGGAGCCAGCCAGGAATCTGTGCGGGAAGGAGGAGCTTCGAGTCTCACCTCCAGAAGTCAGGCCTTTGCAGGCACTCACTTCTTGCTCCCAGATTCCTTCCAGCCAGTGTTTTTGATCTCTGTTGTAGGATCTGAGTTCTTTGGTCTAGACTGGCCACCATGGGTGGTGCTGGCTAAAAGGCACAACGCACCTGTAGATACACTCTGCTTAAGCATCCCCGTTTTTTGTTTGGATGAGGAAGGGGTAGAGCAGGAAACAGGAGTGGTGAGAAAATATCAGTCTATATTGTTGATGTCTTTAAAAAAGAGAGCGCCTCCCTCCCCCGCGTGGAGGAGCAAGACAAGAAGCTAGAAAATACCACCTCTTTTCCCCACTCACGGGTGGGGGGGATTAGGAAGGGACCAATAATCACGGAATGTGTTTCACATATGACTCCACTTAGACCCCTGCGAGAGGCGTTGTTTTGAGGGGGAGACTCACCCAGTGAGGTCCGGGGTTTGCTCGGCTGATGACCACGCGCTGTGCTGTTTGCAGTGTGACGCCGGCGAGCAGTGTGCGGTGCGGAAAGGAGCCCGGATCGGCAAGCTGTGCGACTGTCCCCGAGGGACCTCCTGCAACTCCTTCCTCCTGAAGTGCTTGTGAGGGGGCATCCGTGAACCTGCACCCATCCCTAACCCCCAAACCACCCAAGAGGACCACACCTTCCTCCCTGGAGTTTGGCTTTAGCGACAAATAAAGTTTGCATTTCCCTCTAGGGGCAAGAGGCTCTTTTCCTGCTGTTACCAAAATAAAAGAGCACATTAGATGTTACTGTGTGAAGGATAATGCTTTGTCCGGTGTGGCTGCGTGTGCCAAGTACCCTTTTCTTCTTTTATTTGTCTGGCAAACTCTTGTGTCCTGTTGTGTAAAGAAGGAGAACTTTGCTTTGAAAACTGTATTTTTGTATGTGGCATGGCAGAATGAAAATTAGGTCTAGTTAATCTTGGTAGATGACATCACCACCCGGAAACCAAATCACCCCGAGCAACACAAAATGAAGCATGTACAAATTATACATAATAAAGTGTTTTTAATAACTACGCACAGTGCAATGTTGTTTCTATAGAGGTAAATTAAATAGGAATAGTGAGATTAATCATGCTGTTCGTGCTGTTATTTTCAGAGACAAATACTTCAAAAAATAGCAGCCTGTTGGGGGATCAGCACCTTGGTTCTAAGAAGTTCCGATCATTAATCAGGAGACAGTCATGCCAAGCTCTCTAGTTTTCTTTTGATCTCAGTGCTGTGTGTTCTGTGGGTGTGTGGGTGTGTGTGGGATGAAGTGGAGATGGTTGCAGTTGGGGTGATCTGAAGGTGGTTAATAAGACGTTTAGCTAGCCCCCTACTTTAAAAGCAAGAACACATGAATTGGCTCAGACTTTAGCCACAGTAAAAGCAGTAAAAGGAACAAGAACTTCTGTCCTGGCAGCTCCCATGTTTACACACACACACACACACATGCGTGTATATATATGTTTACATATGTGTATATATATATATGTTTATATATTGATTAAAAGAAGACTTTTGGGGGTGGGGTTGGTATTTGTCCAACGGATCAGGTGCTCTAAGACTGTGAGAGCCCTTCGTTCCCACTAGTAAATACGCCATCTTGGAGAAGCTCTCTGCTCAAGGAAAGAAGTCACTTCCGTACGTACACGTGAAGGGAGCAAATGAATGCTGGCAGGAACAAATTCAACTCGAGAAGTGTAAAAACACCGAGTAGCCTTCGAATGTTCTGCGTCTACGTACCTCGACCACATTCCTAAAGGTTTAAGCCCCATGAGGGAATGTTGAAGCAGCAGCCTCATGAGAGGAACAGGTGCTAACAGCTTCCCAGTTGAAGAGGCAGCTGCAGAACAATCGAGCTGAAAACTCAGTCTCCCAGTATGCTGAGGGGGAAAATGTTCTCAAGGAAGATGTCATGGTGGGCAATGCTGGCGTCCCATATTTAAGAACTGCTTTGAGTTCTTGCTGTTCCACTTCCAAGCCTTGCCCCCCACTAACGTGCCCGGGAAGGCAATGGAAGATGGCCCAAGTGCTTGAGGCCTTGCTCAGGAGAGATTCAGAAGATGCTCTTGTTTCGAAGAAAATGATTCAGGATTGTGTGGATTAAGAAAATTCTCTAATCTTGACCCGAAAAACCCCAATAACATCTATGTTGTAAAATGAGAAAGATTGATCCACACAATCCTGAATCATTTTCTTCAGCCTTAAATGCTCTGACCCCAGAGATTGGTCTTTTTTCTTGCATGTTGCCCAGTGGGCTGGGGTGCCCATATTCCCACAGAGCTCTTCTTTCTTGATAGAATTCACTCCCTGAAGGCCACTGTGTGTTTTGGTGTGTCACATTTTCCTTTTAATTCCCCACAACAGGCTTATTTGTGAATACAATGTCATCTTTTAATCTGTTAAAACTGCAAGGAATTGTCCAATAGTTCCAAGTCTACTATGTTTTCAAAAATCATCTCAGTGAAAAATTTTTAATCTTCTTTTTAAAAAAGATTTATCTTATTTGACAAAGTAACACTCGGAGAGCTGGAGAGACTGAGAGGGAGCGTAACCTATTGTGTCATTCCCTACGCGGCTGCAACAGCCAGGGCTGTTCTGAAGCTCCACCTGGGTTTCCCACGTGGATGGCAGGGATGCAAGCACTTGGGCCATCCTCTGCTACTTCTCTCTGATGTATTAACTGAGAGCTGGATTGGAAGCAGATGGGCTGAGACCTGAACCAGAACTCTTACACGGGATGCTGGCAGTATGAGCTGCAGCGGCAATGCCAGGCCCTAACCTACTCATTGAGCCCCTTAACTATCCGTGCCAATCCTAAATAAATCAGGTTGGAATGTTCCTTTAGTCTTTGATGGGTGCTCAGGCTGGGACTCACGCCGGTTCCTTGTTCTCTCTGGAATGCCTCTCCCAAAGCGAGGAGTGCAGGAGGAATTTGTAGTGTAAAGAATATCCACTCTGCTCTGAATCCTTCTAATGTGCTCTTCTCACTTCTACGTTGCTTCTCCTTTCTTGTGTAAGCAGAATAAAGGGCAGGGGGAAGCGAGCACAGAGAGTGGCGGCAAGAGGATGTGTAGGCAGAGTCTGAAAAGGCTTTTTCCAGAAATTGTGTCAAGAGACTCATTTAAGTTAATGATGCCAATGGCACTCTACGCTGATGGTGACAACATCTAACGTGAAATGGCTCATTAAAAGTAACTTTGCCTTTCCACTTTATCACCATTATAACTTCTCTTCAAACAGAATGCGTCAGTATGTTTAATGATTGAAGATCCCTGTGGTAGGAACAGGAAGGTTACAGAGAAGGAACGTTGTGATGACAAAAGTGAGGCCCAGAGACCATCCGGTTTGACTTGGAAGACCAGGGTTTGAGACATGGCAAGTAGTGATTTTTTCTTTCTTCTTTTTCTTTATTTTAAAGATTTATTTGTATTGGAGATACAGACTTACGGAGAGAAGGTGAGAAAGAGATGAAGATCTTCAACCCATTGGTTCACTCCCCACGTGACCACAATGCACCTGAGCCGATCCGAAGCCAGGAGCAGGGAACCTTCTCTGGGTTTCTTATGTGAGGGCAGGGTTCCAAGGCTCTGGGCCATCTTCCACTGTTTTCTCAGACCACACACAGGGAGCTGGATGGGAAGTGGAGCTGCCGGGATTAGAACCAGTGCCCATATGGGATCCCAGCGTGTGCAAGGTGAGGACTTTAACCACTACGCTATTGCACCAGACCCAAGGATGGAAGATTTTTCTCTCTGCACCTTCTCTCTGTAAATCCAACTTTTCAAAAACAAACAAACGAACAAACAAATCTCAAAAAAAAAAAAAAAAAGAAGCGGAGCAGCCAGGACACAAACCAGTTCTCCAATGGGGATCCCGCCAGCGCTGGCAAGGTGAGGATTAGCTGATTGAGCCATAGCGCTGGACCTCAAGCAACGGCTTCTAATGCCTGAGAATCATGACCAGGCTCAGGTGTGGGTACCTGCAGCAGCGGTGTCCATGGGGCCCTGGGTCTGGTAGATGGAAGTTATCGGACGACTTTCTGCAGTTACTCAAGACTGCTTTCTTTCCACAGCGATTGTCATGTTAGGCCCCTTACCTTGTGCTGGAATCTGCAGGGCTGTTAGCCATGCATGGTCTGACTCCTCCTTGGTCCTGGCAATGGTACATCTGAATCTGAGCGTGGGGAGCGTTTTAGGGAAGGGGATTTAGGATTGTGTAATTAAGCACTGTCCATGGGTTGAACACGCTGCCCCAGCACTGCTGCCGTCCTGTTAGTTGATGATGCAGCTTGTTCGTTCATCTGTTCCATCTCTCTCTGAGTGCTTTTGATGTAGCACACACTGAGAACATAATGGCAAACAAGTTAGACGTAATCCCTGTTCTCATGGAGTTCCTACCCAGCAGCAGAGAAGGGCTCATTAATACGGAGCAATTTATAAACTGTGAGAAATTCTACGAAGGAAGTTGAAGGCGCAAATGATGATGTCTACTCAGAGAATTGAAGGAGGAGGAGCCAGTCACGACAAAGACGGCGAAAGAGCGAGGACCGAGGAAGAAGGAGAGCTGCAGGCAGAGAGCTAAGGCTTCCAGGTGGATTGAAGTTCAAGTTCAGAGTGGTTGACCCACTGACGGACCTGAAAGGTGACCATGGACCCTTGGAAAGTGAGAGCCAGACAAGAAGAGGCGCAAGCAGGTTCTACGATGCACGGATAGCTCAGCTCTCCCAGGGGTCCTGTCACCTGGCTCAAGCGCCAGGTGGAGTGACTGGTCATGGATCAGGACGATGCCGGGAGTTCAGCATTCCTAAGGAGGCTGCAGCTTCTTTAGAATACCTTCAGAGTGCAGCTCAGAGGTGATTTCCAGCATGGGGCTGCACCGGGAGCAGGGGGTGGGGTGCTGGCGGGGCCCCCATTCAGACCAGCCCCTTTCCAGCTGAGACACCGAGAGTTGGGGTTCCATTCTGTTCAATCACATCCAACATTCCGGGTTTGAGCACCTGGAGAATAGGACAAATTTGCTTCAGGTTAAATTATTATTATTATTATTTACTTTATTTCAGCTATAGGCTTTGAAAAAGAATGAATAAGCCTAAAATCATCTCATTTCATAAGTCAGGATTTTCAAGCTGCTGGACAATCTTATGATTCCTAAGCACTTGGAGTCAGAAGAGAATTGCTTTCAATTTCTTATGTATATAGAATTATATATTTATAAATTATATATAACAGAATAATATATTTAAACGATAAATATGTTAATATTATGTATAGGTCCTGAAAGTAATAGATACATTATATGTAAATATACATTGTACTTTATTGTATCCCATATGGTATCTATATAAATACATAAATGAAATGACTGACATCTTATGAAATATTTCCATAAAACACACATTGTATATGTAGGTAAGCTACTCACACTCACTACTTCTACATGCTATGTCTTATCTCCATTTGTGTGTTCATGTCTCTGTTTTTCTGGGTGGTGAGGACCAGGCCATAATTGTCAAGGCAGGCACTCTCCTGCAATCCTCGTGAGTGAAAATCTCTCTGGGACAGAAGCGGGGAATGTTTCTGGCTCTGAAAATGGTATGCCAGGAAATGCTTTGTAGGGTGCAGAACTCCCAGAGTCACACCGGTGGTGCATGGAACTCCTGTGTCTCAAGTGAGTTCCTGAGCGTTTTAGTTCCCACCCATCGCCTTGTGTTGTCCTTCACGGTTCCTCGTCTGTAAGTGGAGGTTCTGGAGCAGG